CTTTTATTATTAGTAGTAGTAGTAATAATTGTAACCTGCCTCGAAATTAATTGATAAACTGAAACTGTTGACACATTCGAGGGTTATCGTGTAGAGGCATACTGCTTATACCAACATTTTGCAAACGAACATTTAACAAGAAAATATCAATTTAATACATGTATTTAATATAAATTATATACTGTGCTCTTTTCTACCATGCCATATTTTCCACATAATATTCAGACATTATTACATTGGTCAGCAAAAGTTCAGGGATTAAGCGAGTCAATTAAATTTCCATTTATTTTTCCCCATAAGATTGAAAATGATTTGATGTTATCACAATCATCATTAAAGGAACAAAATTCATTATGACATCCTCAATAAACTACTTTCACAAATAAAAATTCGATAATGTCGAGGGCAACGTAAAGTGAGAGAAATCAATTATTATTAACACTGGAAAAGAAATAAGAAAGCCCCTTTACAGGAGACTGTGCTGTATAATCCAGTTTGTCTTTTCGGAAACCAATCCCACTTTATCACCAACGTATCCTAATGCTTCTGACAAGATTACAACGACAATATGGAACTGAACAGAACGGAATGCTGGTTCCGGATATGTGCATGCCATAAATGATGTTTCTACAGTCTTCGAAACGACGCATATCTTAATAGATGGCAATTTTGTTGAATGTTTTGACTGAATTATGTTAACTTAATTCAATTTGTTTAACAAAGCCATGTATAATAGAGGGTAATTGAATACGAATCTTGCAAACTACTTGCACTGATAAAGCTGCAAAGAATTAACTAAAGGATGAAAATTGAGACTAAAATGAAAACAACTATATTCAGCGTGACTTACTTTGAGAGAGAGAGAGAGAGAGAGAGAGAGAGAGATTTGTTGATGAAGCTAAAGGATTGTGATTCTCTTTTGAAAATCTTTTTTATCGTGTGAAGGAAAGGAAATAGAGATAACAGCTCCTTGTCTGTATTTTCAAAATTAAAAGTTGATCTTAGCGAAGAAACAGATTGGAATGAAATAGAAACCGACTTGGCTAAGGCCCATAGTTAATGTTCCTTTCCAATAAACTTTCTAACTATTGATTGTTCTTAACTTTTAAAGGTTTAAAGAAATGTGTGATGATTAACAGAATAAATGTAATCTGTCAATATTGTTAAACTTTGGCCTTAACTAACTGCATCGTGTAACCGAAACAGCCATGACTACTTTAAAAGTAAATATTGTTGTATCTGCTTTTATACAAGTATTTCAAGACAATCTTAAGTTGATTTCATTTCAATCGAAAGACATCTGCATGTGTTTATTATTTTCTAAATAACTCTGCAAAACTCAACAGAGAATGTTAAATCAAAGACTTTGGCAGAGATGATAAAGAAAGTAAAAGGACCGCCTTTCATGATTCAAGAATTTTGAAATATGCGAAAGTTTCGTGTTGAAATACAGTATTTCCAGACTGTGATAAATATACATTACTTTGACCTACTTGCAATAATCCACAGAGAATCGTCTGAACGATTCCACGACATATTCTAGTTATTATTTTGTATTGTCGAAACATAACGATGTAATTTCTCATTTTAAGTAGCCTAAAAACTAGTCAGGGTGTGATTTTCTAATCTTGAGTTCAAAAGATGTCACCAGTGAAAAGGATTCCTATTTATCAGTAATATCTAATGTTGTATCATCATAAAAAGCTCTTTCTAAGAGATGAAAGAAAAAAATACTGAAAAGGTTTACAATTGTGCTAGAATTTTATTCAGGAATTTTCAATAATTTGTTTTATAAAAAGTATTCAACACCATTTTTTCAATCAAGATTGCAATACAAAAAATTGTCCAGTATTTTCGTAAAAAATAGATAAGGGGAAAACGACTGACAACATTCAATGCTCATATTTACGTTATTTTTTCTTTATAAATTCTAATTTCTCTCTCTATCCCTCTATAAATGTTAATTTCATACGCCTTAGATGGGGCACTTGTCCCTAACCTGCTGGATTTCGATAAGTTTGTGGCATGTTTTTTAATCAAGTCCCTTCTTTTTTGCTTTTTTTTAGTCATGTGGTTTTTTTATTGTGTATACCTATACAGTTTTATATGCGTGATCTATATTAATAAGGGCAATTTTAAGATCTGCACTTCATTTTGTATTGTATGTACCTTTTCGGTTGTTTTTAGTTTTTCCTTGTGACAGGTGTTACATATATTTAATACCAGACAATACTGCTGTATATTTATGTTGTTTTTACTTGCATTGGCATTTGTAATAAATGCTCTTTTTCAATTCAAAGTATGTTGCTATTATCTTTTGGCAAAACACAGAGCAGAGTATATTCTGGTAGAAAAATGAAGAAAGGGTATTTGAAGTTAAAATAGATGATGGTATAAATGTTAATTTTCATACGCCTTAATACGAATTGAGCGCCTCTTAGAACTGGTGTGGGTTTTAGACGAAGAAACAGTTTTGACAGTGAAAAGTTCATTGCAAAGAATATATTGTGAAGAAAAATATTGGAAAGAATAACAAATTCTAAATGTAATTAAAGGCGTTATATATTTACAACAATATAACATACTAATAGTTTTTTTTAATGAAATTGAACCAAAAAAAATTACACATGAAATTTATCCTGATGATTTGAAAGCGCAGTGACAAGATTTAGAGTGTGTTCATTTTAGATTTCGAATGGAATTCAATGGAAAATACAAAGAATGTAAATATTAAACATTAACGTATGAGTTAACCCCCTTTTCCAGTAGGCAGTTTTCACATGGAAACTGTATTTCAATGTAAATTTGATTATTGTTCACAGCAATTAAAGTCAAACATGCTTCATTTTTACGTGAAAGATCTTTACAGTAAAAGAGTGCTTTTCACCTTTACTCTAGAACTTTACAATAAAAGCTCGGGGATTAATTCATTGCAAAAACAAATGGCCTCTATGCATTTCACATCTGAATTGTGCCATAGACAATCGTTCATGTGTTGTAGTTTTAGAGGTCAGATAATGATGAGTTCATGCTAAGCTTAAAAAAAATCTTCGATTCAAATAATTGTCATTTTTGTTCAATTTTTAAGTATTTAGAAACGGTTCTGAATCAAGTGTTTTTGATGAATTGAACTGATGAATTGCAGCATGTGTATGACATCATTATCAATCATCAATTAATTTCTAAGATTTCTTAAAGACGATCAATTGTTTATCTAAAAAAATCAGAACAAAACGCACCTATACTATGATTTATCATATTTTGAGAGACAAGATTCACCATTCCTTTTAAGATTTCCTATTAATATGTGTACCATAGCTGATTTCATTACTTTTCTTTAAATCGTCGGAACTTCAGAAGAGGTCGAGTAATTCATGAAGATAATCTGAATTCTCTTTAACATGTTATATGGAGATAACGAACAATAATCAATCTCAAAAGTCCAATGAAACAATACAAATCGGGAGCAGAGCAAACACGGACCTCTAAAAACATCAGAGGTGGGATCAGGTGCCATGGAGGAGTAAGCATCCCCTGTCGACCGGTCACGCCTGCCGAGGGCTATTACTATTTTGCTGTTAAACACAAGTATGCTCATTGAACGAGCTCTTGAAATTGCTTAAGTTTGTAAACCTCCACAACGTATATACATTGATAGTCTCACTTTAGACATAAATTTACAAGGCATTTTTCCACTAACCCCTTTTGAAGTTCTATTATACGCTTGAGGACAGCTTACTAATTCCAACATCAGAATTGTTGTCATATTTTTCACAACACATTACCTCAGAATTCTAGAAGTGGTTTCATCTTTATTTCATGCGTGTGTAATAATTTACACGTCATTCACGATAACTATAGCAGCACTCAGCGAGCCTGGCATAGCATAGATATGTCCTTAACGAGTTCAGACTAAACTGATTATTGATCGAAATTAACTGGAAAGAAAAAAGAAGTTGAATTTTTTTTCCCGATATGAGGGATCCATTTTTTCTTGACAGAGGATTTCAAATTTATGTACCTAAACATATTCATTGAAGAATTCTTCCTATTAGTAGTAACAATTTAAAATCACCCTAAACAATTTCCTTAATGTACTCACAAGTTACATTATTGTATTTTGTCTCCAGAAAAAAAGATGTAAAATTCTGATGAATACATCACAATCTAGAACATCTAAATTGCTTTATTTGTCTGTTTTTGATAGAGAAATATGAGAATTTGAGGATCGGGTGTATTAGTTTGATAGCGATTATTCTAAATTTTTTATCCCGCAAAGTGCATATTCTTTGTTTCAGACAGAGAATTATTTTTCTCAAAATTACCTTAAATTGAAATTTTTGCTTAGACATTTTTAGTGTCCCTTAAAATACTTTATCAAGGATAAGTTTATTACATAGGATCAGCTTTTTATACAAATAAAATAATTGCCTTTATAGCTTTATTTTTACATTTGATAAATTATACAAATTACTTACATGCAATAGGCCTTACATCTCTCATGCAAAAACAACTGAGATTATATCCGAGTCGATTGCATTTACGATATCACAATTGAAAATCCAGCCAACATATTTTTCATCAGCAGAACCAGGTGATAGCTAACGGCATTTTATTTAAAATTACTTTTTCAATGATTTCCGGCGGAGAAATCAACAATATCTAATATCGGAAAAAGTTTTTCAAAACTCACATGCTCTCAGGGAATCAGACTCATTCTCAATGTAATTTCTAACAAAAAATATTGCTTTACCCAGTTGATAAATATTTAAACTGCTAAATCCGTGAAAAAATGGTACTCAAGCTTCAAAATAAATGCGAAATATCTCCCGAAGGATTGCTGTTAAAATGATTGATTATTAAAAAAAAATTATTGTTTTCATTTTATTATAAAATTAATTAATTCAGTATTTAAATATTTGCTTTTGTCCCTATCTTTCATATGATTTTCTTGATTTAATTACCTTATAAGAACAGTAGTAGAAAATACTTTTACTTACCTTCTTTCTAATATACTAGTTGACTAAGCTTCAATGGCGCTCTCTCCAATACAGCCGATAGTTTGCGTTTCTTGTCATTATCTCTGATCATCGAATGATGGAGTCAGTGCACAACAGCCCATGGCTGGGAGAACTTCAAACACGGATCATCGCCAGTGAAGTAAAATCATAAAGAGTCAAGGTATCTGAAAGTATACATGGACGCTATTGTATTCGGTTATACAAAACTTAACAACCAATCAGAAACACGTGGTTAAGTCTGTATGCCAAGTATCGAGTCCATATTTATCATTTTGTAAAACTTGGTGACGAAATGTGACTTCATTATCAGCAGGTTGTTTTCGCTTTACACGTGCTTTATTCGAATGGAATTTGAAGAAACCCTGCCCCCTTATGCCTACTACATAGCAAGTAATCAATTTTTCACAATAGTATAGAAGTAATAATTATCTTCAATTCCAAAAAAAATATTATTGGCTATTGAGTGTAAGTCTCGTTCCTTGTGCCTCATTATGAAAATTTTACTTATACTCACTGTTTTGTTATTCATGCAAATATTGAGAGAGTTGATGTTGGAGAAAACAAATGCACTTTTACGTTTCCTGCCAAATGGCTTATGCCTTAGGAAATTTATGTTACAGTACCTTCATTAAATATTTGTATGCAGAAGACATTTTTTGCTCTGTCTGCAGAGATTTGGCTGAATTTTGATTTGCGAGGTTGTGTAAAGATTAGTTACAGATTGAATATGAATTTGTGGTTGAACCACTTTAAATAAATTCGATAAATGAAAGTTGCATTTTTCTTTCTAATGACTGAAGATTTTGAATTAAATTTTGAATTGATCTTCGGTCTACAACTGACATTCCACGCTTCTTGGTACATGTACTTGAGACCATGATAACTTGTTCAGCTTTTCTGCGCACACCAACAGTAAGGAAGAAGGCGTGAAGTAATAATTTCGTCTTAGACCAGACAAAAATTAATTTTCTCTATCAAAGTAGAATTGGTTCTGAATCGTGTAATTTTACAAAACCTCATCCTTTAAATGTTTGAACAGAATTTGTATGGGCCATACAAAAAAATCCATTTTAATCAGTTTTTCCGTTTTTGCGTCACTGTGTCTCTTTAAAATTAGATTTTTGTGGATGCTTAATTCATGATAATTGGCAATGGCATGTGAAAAAACAAGAAACGAGGAATAAAAAGTTTGGGCAAGAAGCAAATGCTTAAGTACAGGGTGTCCGAAAAGAAAGGTAACACTTTAATACTATATACAGGGATATTTTCGCCCCGTGTAATTTTCGCCCTTTCACACTTGCAAATAACTTTGCCCCGATTTAAATTCGCCCGATTGCAGTTCTGTTTAAGAAATTATACTGTGTTTCTATATTGCATATCAATATGGTGTGACTCACGTCAGAACAGCATATTTCTATCGTCAAACAATTTTATGAAACAAAATGTGTAACAGACGTTAAGCGAAAGTTTAGAATTGTAATGTAAGCAGAAAACATGTCTACAAGATTATATGTAAATTCGAGCGACAAGGATCAGTAGCAGATGCTCCAAAAGCAGGTCGGCCGAGGTCAAGTCGGAGCTACGAAAATGTGAGTACGCTTCGAGAAATGCTAACAGTCCAGAGAAATCAGTTAGACGTTCCTCCTCAGAGACTGGAATCCCTAAAACTTGTGTTCATGACATATTTAGGAAGGATCTCAAACTTTTTCATGCAAGATGGTGCAACAGCACATTCATCTAATATTGTATTAGATTATCTCAACGAAATAGTCAGTGACAAGGTGATTTCCCGACGATACCCCTAAGTGAAGGATTGTGGACAATCTTGGCCTGCGCACAGTCCTGATTTGAACCCGTGCGATTACTTTCTATGGGGTACCTTAAGTCTTCTGTTTACAGGCAAAAACCGATGGACACAAATATGCTTTTGTCAAACATCAAACGGGAAGTTAAGAAGATCAGTGAAGAAATGTGTAAAAATGTTATAATTAATAATTTCAAAGTGCGAGTTAGGGAAGGGAAGCTGATGATAGGACGTCATTTAGAGAACGTCATTAATTATTGAAATGACAAATAGGTACTCTGTACTTTAAACGCTGTTCATTATTTGACATATTAACTAAATTATATGCTACCAGAACAAACCTACGTCTTTGTTTTATAGGTGTACATATTATGATATAAATTTTTCAACATTAAATCTCCATTCCAAAAGTATGAAAGTGTTACCTTTCTTTTCGGACACCCTGTACTTCATATTTGACATTGTTTTATTGCCTGTAATTAATCTGCAACATATATGGTCTTAATTAAAAGAAGAAAATAATGTAATGAACGGTGAAAAAATTAAGGGAAAAAAATCAAACATGCTTTTTCAATTTTGAGTGCACATCTCCTGGCAATTGAAGAACCATAGGGTGCAAGATATAATCAATCAATGCTGTGAAAAACGAATACATGATTTTAGGACATTCATTACAATCTTTATCTAATATACTTTTTTTCTTAGAAACAATAAAAAGGTCGCGGTGTTAGTAAAACTGAATTCTTTGTTTTATTCATAGTGTGTTTATTTTGAGTTAGTAAAAGATCATTATGTTTTGTGTAATTTTTGAACGTGCTGTGTTGGTTTGTCTGTTACATTTTTCCACATCACTATGCTTAGGCGTCGGAATCGGGGGGGGGGGGGGCTTAGCCCCCCCCCCCCCACTTTTTTGCAAAGATAGACATAATATAGGCATTGAATATTGGGGCTTACCTTTTTTCGTTGGTTTAGCCCCCCCCCCCCAACTTTCAATTAGCCACCCCACTTTCAATTTGCTTCCGACGCCTATGTTATGGAAACTGAATCGTTATTAACATTTCAAAGCTGAAATTTATTTATTTGATTGATTAGTTCTTTGTTTCTTTTCACAAAAACGTACATGGTTTAAACAGATATACATGTAAGTACACGTAGATTAAAAGTTACATTACCATCATAAGTACATGTTTATTCAACTTTACACAGTACTGACAATACAATTTTCTTATGAAAACTGACGGAAATGACTACTATTCAAGGAAAAACTGGATTCTTTTTTTCTTCCTAAGGTGGGTTACTACACCACAATTTTATTCAATATGAATAAAATTCAAATCACTTTAAAATGGTTTAGCATTGAAAGACCGTTCTAAGCTCTAAATTATTTTATATAATTGCCTGCTAGAAAGTAATATAATTATGTGTATTACAGTTATAGTGAAAAAAGGAGGTCAATAATTGAAATTCATTGCGAAAGGAATATGACAAAGCACCAATCTATTGAATGCCCTTTAGTGAAAATATGCATAACACGTATTACATTACTATACTAGTATTTGCGGATAATAGGTTTGAAAAAAGAAGAATAAAAACAGCTTTAAGGATACGGGAAACTAAAGAATGTTATATAAATCTGTAACACAGTTTTGTAATTTTTGTAGCTTTGTAAATGCTAAATACATCATTATCACGAAATGTCCCTCTCAAATACATGTAAGCATTTTTTTTTATTTTGCATCTTTTATCTATACTTTAATTCAATGCAAAAACATAAAAAAAAGAAAACAAAATCACTCTGAAATTAATGAATTTATTCTTATTTCAATCATGAAAAATTTAAATTGGATCTAAAATCAGCAAAATACAAGAAGTTAAATGATTAAAAAAAAAAACACGTTTCCCAGATTTTGTGCATCTTAACACCATAAGTAAAAGTTGTTGTATTGTGAATGTGGAAGGAAAAAAATGATTTAGTAGAAAAGTAAAACTCATATATATCTGAACCCGGGTGCAGGTATTTCTAAGGGGAAAACTTCTTACAAGTCTTCTTAATGGGATACACTTCTAGCGTTGAATGCGCTATCAATGACTATTATTTCTTGATATTGATCATTAAATAAAAGCAAAGAAAAATTTGGACTGTAAAATTACTATGTCCAATGATTTAGTAGACATAAGTCACAAGGATAAGAGTTTTATTAACATATTGATGGCGCATGCTTACGGTGGCTTGATTTTCGCTTCCTTTACTTTATGTATCAATGTAAATAAAAACAATATTTGCACTAGGGGTACCTCAATTTCTTAATTAAAAAAGATCCATGCAAAGACCAAAGTACTGGAAATGGTTTAAGAAAAAAGAAACTGATCCTTCTCCTGCATCACATTCTATATTTTCATGTCAACAATGACAGACATTTAATTTCAGAATTTAATCTGTTAGCTCTTATTTTGCCTAATAACACTGCATTTTCCTCCAGTGACAATAACTTACTCGTAATTGAGTTTATATGCGCCTTATTTCTATCGTAAAATTCATTGAAAATTGATTTGAGTCAAAAAGTGTCGAATATCTTCTGACAAGTGACCTATGCACACCTAAAATATAACACCTTGGAGTCCAAGCGGGAATGACTTCTTTGTTTTATGTGTCTTGGGCTTAATGTGTGCAGCAAAATGTGGATTGCGGTAAACTCAATATTGACAAATACTTTTTCTATTTCAAAGTACTCTGAAAAATGTAAGTCCATCGGGACTATGTGACACATATTTTGAAAACACTTTAAATGCTCCTAAAGTTAATTACCTTGTTCTAAGGATTCTGTTTAATGGAAAACCCATTTGTTGCCATAAAAATATCATTATCGCAGAACACAAAAGAATTTGAAAAAAGCTCTCGTCGTCATTACTAAAAAAGTCAATTTTAAGGAGCAGAAAACATGGTCATAACAATCTGATTTACTTAAGTAAACTCGTATAATACATCTTTCGTTAAAAATACTTTACTTGAAGGTCAATCATATATCACACAAATTTACGCATCTCCTATGCTTTACATGGAATTTTTAACATCTTAAGAAGCTTGTCAATGCATGAAACACCTACACATTTGGATTGAAAGTGACATATTCGTAAATGATGCTTGGATGCTTAGTTTAAAGAAAATGAGTAGGAAAGCTGTGGATTTTCAATTGAAAAGAAAGGAAAAGAAGAAAATTGAAAAAAGGTGAAGATAAAAAAAAAACCACATACAATACAGATCACTGAACAGGGCATAAAACAGGACCCCCGGAAATTCTAGAGGTTGAATCTGGTGCCAATGCGGAGAATCATCTCTCCCGACTAGTCACACCCGCCGTGAGCTCTATGTA